AAAAAAAAAAAATCGAATGACATATTGTTCATTTTGTTCAATTTGTAACTGTTTTGGGCAGGGTCCGGACCAGGCAGCCCCTTCCCCCAGCCTCTCAGAAAGCCGGGGGATCTGCTGGACTTTGCAGCTCTGCCTCCAGCATTCCAAGGAGCTTATCTCTCTGGGCAGGATCCACGCAGCCCCTTCTCCCGCCTCTCAAGGCCAGAGCTGGACTGTGCAGCCTCTCCCCCCACATTCCAAGAGGCTGGCCTGTGAAGGTCTCAGACGCTGCAGCTGCAGCACCAGGAAGCCTCCCTTCTCCTTATCGGCACAAGCACCAGCAGCCCTCTTCACCTCATTTGCATATCTCCCTGACCCCAATCCCACAAATGTCCCACTGCCCCACCGACGGGGGTGATTTCCCTGACCTGACTCATTTGGTCTTGGAACCTGCCCGTGAGCTCAAGAAGCTCCCGTCCCTTTCTCTGCTCTCCCTTCCCTTCCGGGAGCTCCTTCCCTACCCTAATAAACCCGCTCTTAACCGCATGTTCTTTGCCGCAATTCTGTCTCCATTCAGTGTCTCAGTGTTGACCTCAGTAACCATGAAAACACATCCTGCCTATCAGACGATTCATAACAGTAGCAAAAAGACAGTGATGAAGTAGCAACGAAAATGATTCCATGGTTGCGGGGGTCACCACCACATGAAGAACTGAATTAAAGGGTCTCGGCATGGGGAAGGTTGAGAACCACTGGTCTAGAAGGTTGCTGTGAGTCAGTAGGACTCAATGTGACCCCGGTGAGGGGAACAGATTCAATCAGGAGGGTTCTAGGGTGGTGGGCGGGGCCAGGGGATGAACTGGGGGCGCTGGCTCAGTACACAACTGACCACACTTTGCCCATCACTTCCTGGCATGGATTATGGAAACTTCCAGAGCTGTACTTTCCCTCTGCCTGGCTGGCAGCTCCACCTTGAGGAAACAGGTGGGGCTTCCAAGTTTGGACTGAGTACACACGGCCAGCATTGACTTCCCTCTAGTTCCTAAATGCTTCTGCGCCACCCCACCCCCACTATCATGATCCGAATTCTACCTTGCAGTCTAGCTAGACCAGAGGATGCACACTGGTACAGATAGGAACCGGAAACACAGGGAATCCAGGGCGGATGATCCCTTCAGGACCAGTGGTGTGAGTGGCTATACTGGGAGGGTAGAGGGAGGGTGGGTTGGAAAGCGGGAACCGATTATAAGGATCTACATGTGACCTCCTCCCTGGGGGATG